GGATTGGGAAGAGCCCCTGTAGTTCCTTGGAGCCTCATCATTGGGAAGTGGGATCCCGGGAAGGCTGGCGACGGGGTTAAAGGCTCCTGAAGTGCTTAAGTTTGTAACAGTCTTTTTTCCAGTGTCCTGGCTCTTTGCAATAACAGCAGAAACCAGGAGGTTTTTGGTTTCAGGAGCCTTCATTTGCCGAAGTTGAAAATTAAGAATTTTAGCGGTCTTTCTTTTAGGTGACTTACCTGGATGCCAGCCAGCTGCTCTGGCAAATTAAATCTGGAGCGTACATAGTTTCTCATCCCATCCTGGAGTTTCCCATTCCACCCTTTTTTTTTTTTTTAAGATTTTATTTGAGAGAGAGAGCGAGCGAGCGAGCATGGAGCATGGGGGGGGAGGGTCAGAGGGAGAAGCAGACTCCCCGCTGAGCAGGGAGCCTGGTGGGGACTCGATCCCAGGACTCCAGGATCACGACCTGAGACTGAGCCACCCAGGTGCCCCATCCTGGTCCTTTTTAACTAAAGGAGAAAAACTAGCCCATTAACAAGCAATTAAATGCTACCCATGTGGATTCACATCCGAAGGAAGACCAGAACTTTCTTTAAAAACATTTTGGAGTTGATTGTAATAGTCATGAACAGGTTCATCAGGCTTTGTTTGCAAACCTGAATTTTATTCCAGGGCTTAGGAAAAGCTACTGTAATTGCTCGTGAACATTTCCCAATGAGTTTTCTAGCACCTTGCCAAAAGTTAGGGGTTTGGTTATCTAAATCCCCTTCGGGATGTTCCCATCGGGCTAGTTTCATCCAATGTTTGGCCTGGCCCTCACCAAGGAGCATACGGGCGAACTGATAAAAATCTGAGAAACCAGGTTGATAAGCTTGAATATGTTAAATTCTTTAGCAACCTATGGGGCCCTCAGTTACTTTAGGAAACTAACTATGGCTGGCAGTTTGGCCTTAGTTCAAGAAACATAGAAACTTGGGGTTTATTGAGATCCTCAGAAGAGTAAACTTTAGGGGCACCTGGGTGGCTCAGTCATTAAGTGTCTGCCTTCGGCACAGGTCATGGTCCCAGGGTCCTGGGATCGAGCCCCGCATCGGGCTCCCTGCTCCACGGGAGGCCTGCTTCTCCCTCTCCCACTCCCCCTGCTTGTGTTCCCTCTCTCGCTGTGTCTCTCTCTGTCAAATAAATAAAATCTTAAAAAAAAAAACTATAAAGGGGCAAGTTTTAATAGGTTTAAGGGAGGAGAGAGTGGGGAGAGGAGGTTTAGAGGAAAAGTGAGGTTGGAAGAATAGAGGAAAACGGCACAACACCTGTGCTCGACAGGTGGCTGCCTCCTATCTGGAAACAAGGAGGGCGGGGGCTTCAGAAGCAGTTTTGACTTCTTTCAGCTGTTTGCCCCAGTTAATTTCAAAGTATTATTTTGCAAAGAGGCAAACCTAGAATCCTGACATTTGGGAGCCTCAAGGTACCAATCAAAATAGACATCTAACTCAGTTTTTTGCCCTTTTTAGGGACCACAGCTTTCTAATTTAGAGTAAAACAAGTCTGGGGAGAAAAAGTGCCTCATAATGGCCATTGACGTTCTAAATTACTTTTAGTTAAGTCGGTCCATTTAGTTAGAAATGTACATGAGAAGGGAGTGTAGTTTTTAAATTTTTTTTAAGATTTTATTTATTTATTTGAGAGAGAGAATGAGAGACAGCATAAGAGGGAGGAGGGTCAGAGGGAGAAGCCGACTCCCCGCTGAGCAGGGAGCCCGATGCAGGACTCAGTCCCGGGACTCCAGGATCATGACCTGAGCCGAAGGCAGTCGCTTAACCAACTGAGCCATCCAGGCGCCCCGGGAGTGTAGTTTTTAAGCAAAAAAAAACTGGCCAGGGCCTCAGAAGAGGGGCATTTGTATGACTGGGATACCATTTCTTAGGTGTTTTTTGTTTCTCTAGAGCAAAAAGAAAAGTTCCTAAACCGCAAAGTTTCAACAGGAATAGCCTGGTCCCAAAGGAGTCAGACCAAAGGCCAAACAAGTATTCTCAGAAAGGACAAGGCCTTAAAACAGGTCCCAAATAAAGTCTGGAATGCTCAAGCATAAAGAGCGCAGAACTCGAAATCCAGGAGAAAACTAACCCTCAAACTTCAGGGTCAGTGAGAAAGCAGTGAGCCCGACTGGCTTCGTGGGTCCCGGCACGTGTTGGCTCCCCAGCCTTGCAGCTGGTGGGGGTGATCTGTGAGTCCCACTTCTGATCACCAAATAATGTTAACCTTGGAAGTAAAACTGCCACTGATTTTACCAGCAGCAGTGGGTTTATTCTGGAATAGCAGAGAATTGTAATTTAGGACAAGCAAGTTATGGCAAAACCATAGTAAATTCTCAAAACAAAGGAGAGGACTGCTGGCACGGCTGTTGGAAACCAAAAGCCCAGGGGCGCCTGGGTGGCTCAGTCGTTAAGGGTCTGCCTTCGGCTCAGGTCATGATCCCAGGGTCCTGGGATCGAGCCCCGCATCGGGCTCCCTGCTCGGCAGGAAGCCTGCTTCTCCCTCTCCCACTCCCCCTGCTTGTGTTCCCTCTCTTGCTGTGTCTGTCAAATAAATAAATAAAATCTTAAAAAAAAAAAAAAAGCCAAAAGCCCATTGGAGTAAACGAGGAGTTCTGAGTATAGCGGCCTCTCATTGGCTGACCCATGCCAGTCTCTCCTTGGCTGGGTTGTTGGCTGGGGCAGGAGGAAAACCTTTCTTCTTCCTACTGGGGTAACAGGGTAGTGAAGTAGGGTCAGACTTATAGGCTGTGTTTCTTCCTGTTGGGTCTGAAATTCATGAGCAGTCGTAGGGCATGAGAGAGCCCCCCTGCTGGTCATGACTCCATTCTAAGCAAGGTTTCCTTTTATTTTCACTGTATCAAAGTCTGGAGGAAACAAATGTTTATGTGAATTCTTTCCCTTTTTTTAAAAAAAGATTGATTTTATAGAGAGAGCAAGCATGGGCATGAGTGGGGGGAGGGGCAGAGGGAGCGAATCTCCAAGCCGACTCCCCATTGAGCAGGAGCTGTGGCCACAGGGGCTTCATCTCACAACCCTGAGATCATGATCTGAGTGGAAGCCACAGTTGGACACTTACCGACCGAGCCACCCAGGAGCCCCATATGTGAATTATTTCTTGAGAGAACAAGGTGGAGGCCAGGGTTCTCTTCACTGCACCTTTACACTGGCAATGACTTGTGGACATGGTTTGGCTTCTGTGGCCAATAGGGACATGTTCTATTTTATTCTTTGTCCTGATTCTGATAATGGCTCCACCTCTTGCCTCCTGTGCGATGGAGGGCCTGTAGATGGCCCATAATGCAGCGTCCTTGTTGGTTCCCTGTCTGTCCAAGTACCTGTGAGTCCTTTGCTCTTAACCGGCCCCCCCAGCCATACCCAGCGTGGGTGTGGGCTCTTCCAGATTTCCCAGTGTGAGGGTTGGGGTACAGCCTCTGGCTTTGCATGACCCCTGAAGGCCGACAGGAGCACCTGAGACCGGGAGATGGACAGATCTAAGAATAATTGTGTCCCGCAAATGTGCGTGGCTGCCTGGTGGGGGAAGGCACGTTTCCCATCAGTGCTGATCTTGGCCCCCTTTTCACTTGCCTGTGGGAGCCTCACCCTTGCTTCCTATAGAGGAGTTGGTTGTCTGTTCTTGCTTTTTATCTCCTCTACATTTAAGAACCAAGATAAAATTGCCAGATTTGGCTGTTTTTTATCCTACAAAATGACCATGTCATTTGGTTCAACCTAATATTGTGTGTAAACCACACATACACAGGCAAATACATTTTAAGATAGTATTATATTGTTGAGACTGTTCTGTAGAAACCATTGTTCAGGATCGCTCATCCTTTTCATGTTCTGTATATTCCACTTCATGGGCATAATCATTTTGAACTCAATCCCCAGTTGCCTTTTGTCTGGTCAGTTGTTTAGGAGGATTTAGTTTGGAATAGGTGCCATAGAGGAGCTTTAATCTTTTGTGTAATTGTCAAATATACATTCTCTTTCCTTCTTTCTTGGCCACTGAATGCTAAGAAAACATTTTACTTTCAAAGCTTCTTTTTCTTTATATACATTTTATAAGAGCTCTTTCTATATGAATGCCATTGAAACATGTGGCCTGTGGGGAGAACTGGTCTGCCTGGCTGTCTCTTACTCCCCAAACCTTATTCTCTCATCCAAGTAAGACAGGATCAACAAAGTATACTACCCACTTCTCAACTTAGTTGTGTGGAACAGAAGAGATAATGTGAAGGCTCTGAGAATGGTTGTACGCTGAAGGAAGGCTTGGGTAGTGGTCATATTAGTAGTCATAGTAATAACGAGAGGCCCTAAAAACTTCTAGGTATACTTTATTAGCTAACTTTCTTCTCTCTTTTTTAAGATTTTTATTTATTTGAGAGCGTGCACTGGGGGGGGGGGGGCAAGGAGGGGCAGAGGGAAACCCAAGCAGACTCAGCACTGAGCCGGAGCTGAGTTAGGGTTCTATCTCATGACCCTGAGATCACAACCTGAGCTGAAACCAAGAGTCGGACACTTGACCACCTGCACCACCCAGGTGCCCAAGCTAACTTTATTCTTGTAGGAAATGCGCTAATATAAGTATTTGCCTAGAAAGAATTCATAAACTAGACTGCCCTGATTTGCCTGATCAGTGAGGTCTTATCCGTGAGCTCTGGGTGGGAGAGCTGAACTCTGAGGTTGGAGACCGACCCTGGGGAGCTCTCAGTGCTTTGGCAAGTCTCTGAGATGAGGAAAACTCCAGAGTCGGCTTGGTTGCTGCCCAGGCTCCATGCTGAGAAGGGAGCAGCCTGGGTGAGTTGTGGTTGGGGTGGGCGAGGTGTGAGCTTGGCTGCTATGTCTGGAGAGCGTCTTAGAGCCAGGGCCCAGGCTGGCTCCCTCAGTTCTCTCCTGAGGGTCCCGGAGGGGGTGTCCCCGCAGGGAACAGCTGCCTACCCTGTGTGTATGTGTGTCCTCTTTCAGGCTGCTGACTTGGGACACCCACAAAGCCGGAAGCAAGTTGGAGCCCTGCCAGGCCGCCTGTGCCATGGATTCTAAGGTCAGCCCTTGGGCTTCTCCTGGAGAAATGCTTCGGGAGGGGGAGTGAACATGCCCGAGACCAGCTTTTTCTTTGTGTGTGTGCCGTCAATGTGGGACCCCGCTGGCCCCTTTGACAATGCTGCAGGGAGGAGCCTCACATTCACAACTTAGAGGAGCACAGTAAAGAGAAGAGAACAAAGACCTGTCTTGTCTCCTCGTCCACTTCCCTCTACCTTGGGCCTGGTCGCTCCCTGGAAGGGCAAGGCAACTCTGTGGTTCAGGACCTTTCAGAAGCTCTAGAGTTCTTGGAAGTGATCACCCTGAGGTCATATAGGCCATTCCCCTGGCTTCAGCAGGATGGTACCTAAATTGCCTTCTCTGTACTCACCTTCTAACTGGCTGGAAGAGAGAATCATGGCATATCCAGTCAAAAGCTCTTTATTCATCTGCTTACTAATAGTCTTTCTGCTTCCCTTCTCTGCCAGCTTCTGTAGAGGCCCCAGCCCCAGGGGCTCCTCTGTGTGCATGTTGTGTGCATCAGCCTTTTGTTCTCACTGGCCATTGGGGAAGGTTTCAGCAAAAAATCTAAGGATTTGGTGGTTAGTAAACTTGGTGGCCCACCATTTCTGGATCCCTAAACATAGCAACACCTGGCACCTGGCAGGTTCTCAAGGTGTAGTTGAATATCCTCCTGAAGGGTGGAAACCATGTGATTTTTCAGTTTGGTAGCCAGAGGGCCTGAGACACGGTAGGCTCAGCAGAGATGGTAACTGTTTGGCCAAAAGATTCCAGTAGCACCTTTTGTCCTGATAAAGATCTATTCTCAGCATCCAAAATTCCTTTATTTGGTGCCATTTAAACCTGCCCATTCTTGTCTTATACGTGTATGTATGTATGTATGTATGTATGTACGTATTAAGATTTCCTTTAGTTTTTCTTATAGGGCAGGTCTACTGCTATACTGTGGTTTATCTTATTTATTTATTTAATTTTTTTTAAGTAGGCTCCACAGGGCTTGAACTCATGACCCTGAGATCAAGACCTGAGCTGAGGTCGAGTCAGATACTTAACCAACTGAGCCACCCAGGCGCCCCTATTTTATTTATTTCTTTTAAGTAAACCCTACGCCCAAGTGGGGCTCGAACTCAGGATGCCAAGGTCAAGAGCTGCATGCTCCACCTACTGACTCAGCCAGGCGCCCCCATTCTTGTCCCCTTTAACTTGCAACTTGTGTCCTTTCCCATATTGTTGAAATGTCTGCATTAAGAGCAGTGTTGCCATGTCACACTGTGTGGCACTTGAACTTCCACGAGTGCTTTTGTCCACCTTGTCCATTTCACCTGAAAACCCTCCGGGGGAGGAAGGGGGACAGAATTACCCCCAGCATTTTCTCTTTTTTTCAACTTCAAGGTGAGGAAACATAGACACATGAGTTGCCCAGTGTCCCGTGGAGCTGGGGTTCACAGTGAAACACTGAGCAGTTTCCTCTTATATTTCAGAGTTTGGCCCCCATCACAGTTTTCATCCTGTTGTAGATTTTTCTGACTTTTTCCTTTTGAGGTTTTTCCAGTTTTTAAAAAATTGTGGTAGAATACATAGCATAAAATTACCATTTTAACCTTTTTTAAGAACACAATTCCCCAGCAGTAAGCACATTCACACTGTGGTGACACCATCACCACCATCCACTTCCAGAACTTTTCACCTGTTCAACTGAAACTCTGTCCCCTTTAAATATTAACTCCCATCCCTGTCCCCATCCGGCAGCCCCTCTCCACTCTCTGTCTCTGTGAATCTGACTACTCGCGGTCCCTCAGAGAAGTAGAGTCAAGCAATATTTGTCCTCTTGTGTGTCTGACTTACTGCGCTTAGTATCATATCTTGTGTTTGGTTTTTGGTTTTTTTGTTTGGTTGGTTGGTTTTGTTTTACTGTTATGGTACTGTTCATCCACATTTTAGCATTCTTTTTTTTTTAATTTTTAAAAGATTTCTTTTTTTTTTTTTTTATTTGAGAGAGAGAGAGCACAAGCAGGGGGAGCAGCAGAAGGAGAGGGAGAAGCAAGCTCCCCGCTGAGCAGGGAGCCCGATGTAGGGCTCCATCCCAGGACCCTGGGATCATGACCTGAGTTGAAGGCAGACGCTCAACTGACTGAGCCACCCCGACGCCCCCGTTTTAGCACTCTTCTTTGTTTTTTTTCTTTATATGTAGAGAAACAAAATAAGGGCACTTGGTTTGGATTTTTTTTTTTTTAACTGTTTGTATGGTGCTGTTTTTGCCAGGTTTGGGCACCTGGATTGTTCCAGCTTCTCAAAACACATCAGATAGCTTTCCATTTTTTTCTCTACACTGAAACTGATTTTATAGCACGAGAGTTACTTTTGCATTTCCTTTTTTTTTTTTTTAAAGATTTATTTGAGAGAGAGAGAGCATGAGTGGGGGCAGGGGCAGAAGGAGAGGGAGGTTGATCCCACAAACCTGAGGTTCATGACTTGAGCCAAAACCAAAAGCCGGTCGCTTAACCAACTGAGCCAGCCAGGTGCCCCTTGATCATTTCTCTTAATATACTTTTTCCTGTGATTTAAAAGGATAAATAGCTTTCAAATCTTGCATCTTCTAAGACATCCATTTCAACTTTTATCGCTAGAAGATCAGAAAGAGTCACAGTTGGGCACCTGGGTGGCATAGTAAGTTGAGCGTCCAACTCAGGTCATGAGATCCAGCCCCATCCCATGTTGGGCACCGTGCTCAGTGGGGAGTCTGCTTGAGAGTCTCTTTCCCTCTCCCTCTGCTCCTCCCACTTGTGCGCTCTCTCTCTCTCTCTCAAATGAATAAATCTTTTTTAAAAGAAAAAGTCATAGTCATATGAAAATATTGTTTGTCACAAGCTCTATATGTTCTTGGAATTAAATACTATCAGCTCTTGAGCCTACTTTCTGATACGTGGTTTAGTCTGACCTGTTCTTGACCTGCCCATCTAATAGTGTCTGTCCAACTGCTTTATAAACAGCTGGTACTGAACATTTGAGTGTGTGGTAACTCAGCCCACAACCTTGCCCTAGCCTACTCCTTTCTTCTCTCCTAGCCAGGACATCTCCTTCAGGTAGAAATGAAGGATATTTTTGAGTTTCTAAGCTGTCTTTTGCTGCCTGGCCTCACCATACCGGAATTGTAAGGATTCGATCCAGCAGAGCTTTTACATGATATTCCCCCCCCCTTTTTTTTTTAAGATTTTATTTATTAATTTGACAGAGACACAGCGAGAGAGGGAACACAAGCAGGGGGAGTGGGAAAGGGAGAAGCAGGCTTCCCGCTGAGCAGGGAGCCCGATGTGGGGCTTGATCCCAGGAGCCTGGGACCATGACCTGAGCCGAAGGCAGACGCTTAATGACTGAGCCACTCAGGCGCCCCTATTCCCCCCTTTTAAGAAATAATTCTGGAGAAGGAAAGGCTGAATAACCATACATAAGCACCTTGTTTTGTACCTTTCATTTATTTAAAACAATCTGCCCTCTAAAAACTATCCTAAAAGGTTTCTGAATTTTTTAAATGAAAAATATTCAGGACTTAGAAGACAAATAAATGTTATCGGCACCTTCATCTTCTGCTGAGCTTCTCTTACAGCCGAGTGTGTGTGTGTGTTACATTTACCTGGGAGATCTCAGTATCCCTAGCTTTCTGGATGATTCCCTCTTTCATCCTAGGTCTTGGCTTGCTCTGAGCACAGCTGGCTGCTGGTGGTACAAGCACTCACCTTTGTTTGCCAAGAACACTGACCCAGGTGCAGTCAGTAACCCCAGAAACGTCCCTCCTGGCTCCCAGAGTGCATATGCTGAGCTGAGCTCCCGCAGCAAGTGGTGCTGGCGGACGGAGCTGGCAGGCAGAGCCCCCAATCCCTTGCGTTAGAGCGGGAGCCATCCTCATACAGCCGGATTGTGGTTAAGGGGCATATACTCCCAAGGAGGCATTATCTGCGGTCACTACTGCCCAGGATTTATGGGAAATCGGCTGGTTGCACAATACCATCTTAGCCCACAAAGATTATGAAAAAGAAAGAGCTTCTAACTGCTGGATGCATAGCTGGTAGGGTGGGCTGAAGTTGCTAAAGGATACATGGGAGTTAGCAGAAGCATGTAAGTGTAAGGATGTAATGATGATATTTGCTGACTTCCCTAAAACAGCCTTTGGAACCTCCGCCTCCGAAAGCAGGCTCACCTCAGCTCAGTGTTTTCAGGATGTCATGCAAATGTCTGCAGAATTGGAGCTTTTTCTTTGGCACCTACTGGGGGAACTGCTTGAAGCAGGCACTGCAGACTTGGCCTCTGCTAACTGGGTCCTCTTGCGCCCACAGGGTCATTTGGACATCTTAGGCCAGTAAGATATTTCAGGCCCAGCTGTCCCCAGAGCCCTTCCGCCAAGCTCAGCTGTAGACAGGGCCTCTGGCCCTGGATCGGATTCCTACGCATCTCCCTGACTCCCTTTTTATCTTAGGTCAGCAGTGGTTCAGGCCTCCAGGATGAGCGCATCACAAACTTGCTGGTGTTTGGCTTCCTCCAAAACTGCTCCAACTGTAATTTCCACAAAGAGTTGGAGGTGCTGGGCCGTGACCTGCCCGTGCCGGCTTACCTGCAGGGGGACCATGACGATGGGCTGCAGACAGATGGCAACTGCTGCACCTACTTCCTGGCAGGTGGGGAGAGAGGTAGGTGTTTGGCACAGCCTCCTCTGCCCCAGATCTGGGCTTTGCATTTAGGGAACCTAAGTCCTGGAAGGGAGCTTTGGGCTCAGTCTCCCCCTCCCTAGTCTCAGTCCATCATAGATGTTTGTGTCATATGGTGGTTTGGTCTGTACCTGATGACTCCAGTGGAACAGCCTGAGTTTCTAATTAGTTGAAAGCCACTCAGTTTCTTTATGATGACTCTTTGAATCTGTATAGTACCTTACACTTTTATGTGTATCGTGGTGGGATTATCTACAACATACCTAGGGCATTGAAGTATTCTGAACCTAATTTCCAGATGAGGACACTGAGGCCCAGAGACAGGTAAATGATGAACCCCAAATCAAATAGCGGCTGGGCACAGTGAGTCAGGCTTGGGGCCAGGCCTCTCTTCTCAAGCTGGGCTCTCTCGTCCTCCCATTGTGCTCCCATGATGTGTCCTCCCAGCATGTCATGGTTTCCAGACTCCACCTCTCCTCACCCACATCCCTGTGCTACCTCTTCCAACTTTACTTTTTACTCCTGTGCCATTGGTGCAGCCTCCACAGATGGAGGCCATCCTGACCTGAAGGCTGAGGGAGCAGGGCTGGGAAGCATGTTGAGAATGAGCCTCTTCTAGATTCTGGGCACATTGGAATTCCACGAGGAACATTTTCAAAATGCACAGTCCTTGGGCCCGACTCATCTGTACCAGCGTGTTCTAGGGTGGAAGATTCCCAGGTATTTATGAGGTATATGAGAGTGGAGTCAAATCCTCCTGCCTCCACGAAATCTCCTGGCATACCAGATTGCACTGCCCTCTGGTGGCCATGGGGGGGACCAACAGCTGATCCAGCCTTTGGACCTCCAGCTCTATCTTAATTTGGGTGGGTGGGGTATGGCAGGAGTTCCTCCACGAGCCAGGGTGTGCCAAAGACTTCTGTGCTTTAGAATCCAGCCACCGCATCTTCTGGGTGGCCCTAAACTTGAGTAAGAGCAACTGGTCCTCTTAGGGAGGGGATGGGGGGGCAGGAATGGCTTGGCTGTCAAAGCTGCTGTAGGGCTGACTGCAGCCAGAGGCTGCACCCTGAGCTGTCCTTTGCTCTTCTACACCATTATTTGCCCCGTAGCCTGCAAAGCCTGGCTTGACTCAAATGTCATTTGAAAAAGTGATTATGGGGCTGTACACCAAACCTCACCTCTGGTAGAAAACTGGCCTGTAGGTTAAGTACCTGCCCCAGGTACTTAATAGAGTAGAATAGAGGCTCTGTATACCACAGTTCCATTGGCGAATTCATTTACTCAGCTGGATACTGACTGAATCTGCCAGGACTCCTGAAGTTTGCTGGAACCAAGTGAAAAAGCTCAGAGAAATCAGTGAGGCAGTCAGTATAGTGGGAGCTCCGGAGAGGCTGGGTACTCCGAGGAGTCAGGAGAGACTGCATGGCTATAACTGCACTTGAGCCGGCCTGTGGAGGAAGGGGTACATTTTGGCTCTTTGGGAACTGGTAAGAGGCAATGGCAACGGCGTAAACAGACACTTGCAGGCGGAAAGACTGGGGCCTGTTAAAGGTAATGTGAATAGTTGGGTTTGGCTAGCGTGTTTGGAGGGAATAGTGCAAGTTAAGGTCCAAGGTGCTTTGAGGCTTGCTTGCAACTTGTCACTTCAGCAGGTGTGAGCCCGTGAAGGAGTAGAGAAGTGACGTCCTAGCCATACTCCATGGGTCATCGTCAAGACCACCGTGGGGCAGGTGAAACGCTAAGGGCACAGAATTTAAGGAGGCGCTCTCCCCAGGGTCACAGCAGTACCCCCCAACCCCCTCAAAGCCTCTTTCACTCTTGCACCTCAGTGCCTCGCCAGCATATCATGGAGAGTGGGGAAAGGCCTGGAGGGCAGTGAGAGGGGGCTCGGAGCTTGCCGTCATGACCCCGATGAGAGCTGACGGAGAACCCACGTCCGGGCGGTGACGCTGGGGACACTAGAACAGACAGGTGTGTCTGGGCTCTGAGATCAGATGTGACCACTGCTTGAGGGTGGCCGCAAGCCTTGTGGAGACTGAGGTTTCCGTCCTGGGTAAATAAGCCAGAGGGAAGGTGCAAACACAGGAGAAATACAAGATTTAATGGGGGAAATAATGGTAGCTGGCATTTATTGAGTGCTTACTAGGAGCAGGGACAGGATTTGTTCATTGACTCGTTCATTGTGCAGTTGTTGATCGACCTCCCGTGTGCCTTGCCTTTTCAGGGCTGCGTGTTTGACAGTAAACAAAACATTTAAAAATCAGAGCTCTTAGGAAGCTTACCTTCTGACAGGGGAGTCAGACAACACTGACAGATAAATGGTGTAGTATTGAGTGTTGAGGGAGGAACAGAGGGCGGGGGGAGTGCAGGTGGCAGGGCAAGCAGGGGTGTTGATCTCTCTGGCACGCGTGTGGCTCTAACTCCAGCTGCGGCGAAGCCCCCGCCCTAACAGCTTCTTAGGCCGACACCTGTTACGTGATGGAGTAGAGCTGGCAGCCGGGAAGGTTGCCACCAGATTCATGCCACAGATGCCCTGGCATCACTGTCCTTTTCACAGACAAATGTTGACTCTGTGTGTGGGGAGGGGCCTGCTTCTCCAAGTCTTCTGCTCACTTAGACCCTTTCCTGGCCCCAGCGCTCCGCCCTGGCTGCCCTCAACTGCAGCTCTACCAGCATAGCACGTGCTCAGCGAGCCCACTGTGGTGAGCGGTGCAAACGCGCGGGCTCTCTTCCAAAGCAGAATCCCTTTCTTTTTCTGGTACAGGGTGGAGTGAGAGGGGTCAGACAGGGCCATCGTCTGAATCTACTGTGTCTCTGTGCCCCTGCCTGAACATTTAGATTCTCAGGGTCAAGAAGAAATCATCCAGGATATCGCCAGGCAGCTCGCCGTAATAGGGGACAAGATGGATCGCAGCATCCACCCAGGACTGGTGAATAACCTGGCAATGCGGTTTATGAATGTGAACCTATCGGAAGAAGTAAGTGAGAAAATCCACCACTGCCTTTTCTGGGTTAGTCAGGAAGTGTGAGAACTTTTTTCAGTGGTCAGGTTTTTTTTAAATTTTAATTCCAGTGTAGTTAATATAGTCTTATATTAGTTTCAGGTATATAATATAGTGATTCAGTAGTTCTGTATATTACTCAGTGCACATCAAGAGAAGTTTGCTCTTAATCTCCTACACCTATTTCACCCATCCCCCACCCACCTCCCCTCTGGTAACCAGCAGTTTGTTCTCTATAGTAAGAGTCCATTTTTCAGCTTGTCTCTTTTTCCCTTTGTTTTGCTTCTTAAATTCCACATATGAGCGAAATCATAGTTATTTGTCTTTCTCTGACTGGCTTATTTCACTCAGCATGATACTGTACTCTGTAGCTCCATCCGTGTTGTTGCAGATGACAAGAACTCATTCTTTTTTATGGCTGAATGATACTCCATTGTATATATGCCACATCTTCTTTATCCATTCATCAACTGATGGACACTTGGGCTGCTTCCATAGTTTGGCTATTGTAGATAATGCTGCTGTAAACATAAGGGTGCATGTATCCCTTCGATTAGTGTTTTTGTATTCTTTGGGTAAATATCCAGTAGTGCAATTACAGGGTCACAGGGTAGCTGTATTTTTAATTTTTTTGAAGAACCTCCATACTGTTTTCCAGAGTGGCTGCACCAGTTTGCATTCCCACCAGTGGTGCACAAGGGTTCCTTTTTCTCTACATCCTCACCATCTGTTTCCTGTGTTGCTGATTTTAGCCATTCTGACAGGTGTGTGGTGATACCTCATTGTAGTTTTGATTTGCATTTCCCTGATGATGAGTGATGATGAGCATCTTTTCATGTGTCTGTTGGCCATCTGGATGTCTTCTTTGGAGGAATGTCTGTTCATGTCTTCCACCCATTTTTTAATTGGATTGTTTTTTAGGGTTGTAGAAGTTCCTTATGTATTTTGGATACTAGTCTTTTATCAGATATCTCATATGCAAATATCTTCTCCCATTCAGTAGGTTGTCTTTTAGTTTTCTGTTGTTAATTAAACCATCGAGGTCTGTCCTCTGTCTCCTCTCAGACCAGTGTCCAGTGAGGTGACTCAATTCATGACTGCCTACAAAAGAATTGGAAATAGAATCATAGCATGGTTAATTGTATTTCAGAATTAACTTGACATTTAGGAAACTTGAACCTTAAGTCAGAGTCAACATTTTGGATACAAAAGCCTCTAAACAGATTAATAAAATGTGTATGACTCTTCCAGAAATAACTTATTCTTTCTTCAGTTGAATAAAAATATAAGTAGAGAATGTCAAGTCACAAGAAAAGTGACATTTTATTTAGCCTGCTACTCTTAACTTCATGGTTATAATCAGTATACAGATACTAACAGAACTTCTAACCCTTGCCGGGCACCATAAAGTACCTATCCTTCCTGAAGAAATAGTGGGAGGGAGAACTGCTGGAAGGCTGTCAAATCTATGTCTACAGGAGTTCAGAGGAGAGAATGGTTCCATCCTTTGACCACCACCTGAAAATGCAAATGCTCCTCACTACACAGAAATGTATTCATCCTCCAGGGTTCCGTCAGCCAGGCCAGCCTCCTGCCTGTAAGCAGGTCTGTCTACTCCAGGGGTCTCGCCCTGTCTGGAGTTCTCCAGCAGCTGTGACAGGCATGGTCATGTTCTGCCTCAGGACCTCTCCCACAGTGTTAACTGAACTTTGCGTCTGAGTTGATGAGGTTGAAGGTCCTTTCAGGTCTAATGGTCTGTGGGGTGCCTCTCCCATGCAGGCTAGGCGAGAAGGTCACATTTACGCCCCCTTTCATCTCCTTCCCTGGAGCTAGGTCTGCCCCGGTAAGATAGATGTAAGACATCTTGGGTAGTTACCTTGGAGGCAGGGAAGGACTTGGGCTTCTTTGGTTCCATTCTCTAAAGTGAACACACAGGCTCAAGAAGAATGTATTTGGTGAATGAGTGTCCAGCTGCAGGGAGTGAGCTCAGTCTCCCCTTTCCGTTGTCTCTCAAAATTAAATAATTTCTCATTCTCTCCTCCAACCTCCTCAGCTGTTTAATAAGTTCCTCCCTATGAAATGAAAGCTGCTTTCTACTTAACATTGGAGGACTGTTTTCCTTTCAGAGGGCAGAATATTAGTAAACTCGGTTCCGTGTGACCCTGTTTTCACCCATGCAGGACAGAAGGAGGTACCTCGCCACTGCGCTGGAGCGGATCATGCAGACTTACCCTACGGACATGGAGGAGGAGAAGACCATGCTGATGTTGGCCATGCTCTTGGCCAAAAAGGTGGCCAATCACACACCATCCTTGCTCCGTGATGTCTTTCGCACAACAGTGAACTTTATTAACCAGAACCTATTCACCTATGTGAGGAACTTAGCCAGAAATGTAAGAACCAGTGATGTCAGCTCCTTGGTGTTTCACTCAGTCTTCTTGGTCTCTGCCTGGTCCCTCTAAGGTCTGGAAACCCAGCAGAACTGTCTGCTGCAGGGCTTCTTTCATTCTTTCTCTCTGTGCTTCTGGTGACCAAACCACAAGAGAGGCTTAGAGACCTTCTTGCTCAGGTAGAAAGGCTTGGTTTTGCCTCTGTGACAAAGTTGTGTTGTAGAAGGTGGTGATGAGCACCTAATGCCCTTTTGAGCTCCATCAACGTTATTTTTAAGACAGGCTACTATCAGGGGCATCTGGGTGGCTCAGTCCTGGGATCAAGCCCCACATTGGGCTCCCTGCTCAGCAGGAAGCCTGCTTCTCCCTCTCCCACTCCCCCTGCTTGGGTTTCCTCTCTAGCTGTGTCTCTCTCTCTGTCAAATAAATAAAATCTTTAAAAAAAAAAAAAAAGACACGCTACTATCAGAGCATACTTTATACTATACTATTGCTAGAATCCGAATAGGATGGTGTAGGTAGGTGTGTGGAGCATGAAAGAATGTGGCAGGAGTATCCCCAGCGGAGCTTCTTCCGTCTGCTCTCACTCTCACCTGGTCACAAACATTAAGTATAATTTACATTTTCTTTTTAAGATTTTATTTATTTGAGAGAGAGAGAGCACAAGTTGGGAGGGAGAAGCAGGCTCCCCACTGATTAGGGAGCCAGGTGTGGGGCTCGGTTTGACCTGAGCTGAAGGCAGAGGCTTAACTGACTGAGCCACCAGGCGCCCCATAATTTACATTTAAAAACATACTTACCAAAAAAGGATGTTGGGGAGAGAGACCAAAATATTCAAAAGGGGGGAAAACTATCTAAAATCTTCCCCACAAAACCTGTCCAAGATATTAAAAATAACAGTTCTTCATGATGATGACCAAGAAGAGCCAGATAGCCCTCAAAGTCTGTTGCTTCACTTTAACTGGAAATTAAGTTGATGTGTCTTATTTGTAAATTTGAAAGTATTAGTGAATGTTTGGGATTTTATGTGTCAGAGGCATTACCCAGGCATCTAACCCTGTTAATATTTACTGATAAGTTTCAACGCCTTTTTTCTCTGTCTGCCATGGTCTTCATTTGTGCCAGCACTTTTTTTATTTTTTTATTTTTTTTTTTTGAGAGAGAGAGAGCACATGCACACACGCAAGTTGTGGGGAGGGGCAGAGGGAGAGGCAGAATCTTAAGCAGACTCCGTGCCCAGTGCGGAGCCTGATGCGGGGCTTGATCTCACATATGATTTGAGCTGAAATCAAGAGTTGGATGCTTAACGGACTAAGCCACCCAGGCGCCCCATGCCAGCATTTTAAAACAGAATGAATATAAATCTTGACTCAAGTATATATTTTTTTTTAAAGATTTATTTATTTGAGAGAGTGAGAATGAGAGAGAGAGAGAGAGAGAGTACATGAGAGGGGGGAGGATTAGAGGGAGAAGCAGGCTCCTCACTGAGCAGGGAGCCCGATGCGGGACTCGATCCCAGGACTCCAGGATCATGACCTGAGCCGAAGGCAGTCGCTTAACCAACTGAGCCACCCAGGCGCCCCTTGACTCAAGTATATTAAACCAAGCTGAATTGTTGGAAGACGGTAAGCCTGAGAATGTTCCTGGACAGCTTTCACCAACAACCATCTAAAGGGGGAATAAGTGGGCAGATGTCAACAGCAGTCTGTATTAACATCTTAACCAAATCCTGAAGGGATGAGGGCGCCCAGGTGGCTCAGTCAGTTAAGCATCTGCCTTCGGCTCAGGTCATGTTCTTGGGGTCCTGGGATGGAGGCCTGTGTCAGGCTCTCTGCTCAACGGGGAGTCTGCTTCTCCCTCTGCCCCTCCCCCAACTCGTCCTCTCTCTCTCTCAAACAAACAAACAAAAGCTAAAAAAAAATACCGAGGGAATGAAACAGAATCTTCATTCCTCAGACGCACTAAGGTGCTTCCTGGCACCGTAAGTGACTCAACAGATGTGAAGATCCCGATCTCAGCACCTGCAAAACCTGTGTTTTTGTGGTTGCTCCCATGTAGCAAGAAGGAGGATGCAGGGATCTAAGGATAAAAGGACTCCAGAGAGTGTTTTTTTGCACAAACGCCAGCTTCACTTCTATTGATTGTGGCACCAGAGTCCTTAAGAACGGAATCCTGGTTTGTGAATTACACTGGTTAATTCTGGCTATTTTTCCTTTCTTGCTGTAGGAGATGGACTGAGTGGACACCTCTGCCAAAGCATGACTGGTTAAAACTTGATATGGTGACAACAGTACAGCTGCCTCCAGCTGAGACGGAGCCACGGCAATTTAAACAAAGTTCTTAGAAAAGACAGGCGTGAGATAATAGCTATTTATTTCTCTTTTTAAGATGATATTTTAAGCCGGTGATCCGTTTAGACATCTTTACATTAACGTACTTGAATGGAAATGTCAACTTGCACATATTTGAGTTTCATACCATCTTCTAAATCTACTACACATTGTGCCCTTATCTTATTTCTTTTGTACTTCACTTGAAAATTAAATTTAAGAACAGATTGTAAGGCAGAAGAAAAAAACAATGTTTTTTTGTTTAAAAAAACCCCCAACTTTACTGTTTATTAAAGTGCAACCTTGGGGCATGGTCTTACAGCAGGCAAGATTGTGTTTGAGGAGAGCAAGGACTGGAGACGGATGCACATACCCTCACAAATGAAAAACTCCTTTCAAAATAGGGAACATAAAAACCAAACAGTACAAGAGGTTCTGGACTAAAGTTCTCTACTCAATGGGAAAATCAGGCCTCAGAACATGCGATTTTTTTTTTTCAACTTGATTTCCTTTTATTGAGTCAGGGAGAACCATAGGCAATTAAAAGGTGTGGTGGGATTTAAGGGCCCAAGTCAACCACAGTTTCCAAAATCAGGTAACTCAATGCATTTTTTTCTCTTTCCAAGAAGTCAGAGCTTTAATAAAAATGTTAGCCTGATGGAATACCAGAGGCTATTGCATACATCCCATGGGGAAATAGGTTAATAATCTTACGTATTCATTTGCCTCCCGTATTCCTCAGCTGATCTTGCCCAAGAAGCTACATCTAAAGAAAACAGGTTTTCTAGGCATAAAGGATGAAAGAACAGTTAGATTTTTAAAAATTCAACGCTTGAGGTGGTTCCCTTTCTTAGGGACACAGAATGCAAGTCATACCAAAATAAGTCATTTGGGAAGTGCCAGAATAAACCAGGGAGAGCTTACATTTAGAAAGAGTGCAACAGGGGCGCCTGGGTGGCTCAGACATTAAGCGTCAGCTCAGGTCGTGATCCCAGGGATCGAGCCCCGCTTCGGGCTCCCCGCCTTGCGGGAAGCCTGCTTCTCCCTCTGCCACTCCCCCTGCTTGTGTTCCCTCTCTCGCTATCTCCCTCTCTGTCAAATAAAATCTTAAAAAACAAAAAACAGTGCAACACTGGTCTCTTGTTCCCGGCAATAAGTGTTTCCTAGCATTCTGTTTAAAAGTATGATGGCAGATGCTGGGTTCACATCACACATGGTACTGTTTCACTTAACCAGTAATACTGTTGTTACTGAGTATGACACTTTCTTGTTACCAAAACACTTTTCTGTTCCTTGAGAGTTTAATCAGAAAGGAAAAATGAGGGATCCCTGGGTGGCTCATTCGGTTAAATGTCTGCCTTCAGCTCAGGTCATGATCCCAGGGTCCTGGGATCAAGCCCCGCATCGGGCTCCCTGCTCAGTGGGGAGTCTGCTTCTCCCTCTCCCCCTCCCTCTGTTCTCTCTCTCTCTCTCAAACAAAATCTTAAAAAAAAAAAAAATGCATTGTTCAGCATTAAATACATACTGTACTAGGGCTGGATCACAACCTGGTTATCTGCAATATGTTTTAGATACTAAAAGCTGTGCAGTATGAAGGCCACCATTTGGAAATCTTCCAGTAATACTGTTATGTTTTGAACTTTTTTTTTTTGGAAGGATTCATAGTACGGTGGACAGAAATCTGGACAGAAATCGAATCACACATACATACTCATCCACACATGTATCAAAGTGTTCAATCAGATTCTCACTAGGGAGAGGAGATACTTTCTTCTAAAAGGAACAATTTAAATACAAATAGTCAACTCTAATGGAAGAGAAAAGGGCTCTAAAACAACAAATAATCCCAGATTCTCATAATACAACTTTTCACAGCACCTTCACCTGCCACTGTTTTGCTTAACAGTAGGCCACCATTTTAATGCAGCTTATATACACATTTTGGTGTACATTTTTTTTCAGGCCAAGTTAGACTTTCTCTGCCATAAAGCAAAATGATCACCTCTTGTTCCCAAGCCAGCATCATGAAGAGTCAGTCCACTGTATCAAAAACAAGTGTTCCAGTCTTGGGCATATCCCAGCCACAAGACTCAGGCATATCCTGGAAGCTGGTGGATTTTACGCTGGGAACATAATCCTCATGGATATGATTGAAAATTTTTAATTCAATGTGTTTCATCCTGGTTTTTTAAATATTTGAATTAAGTGATGGAAATTCCTTGGTTAAAGAGAAACAGCTTTCTTCTCCAGGAGGTGCTTGGCATATCTGAAAGTCAGATGGACTATGTGGTCTATTCAGAAGGTTAAATCATTCCTGATCTCACCATGTAGGATCCAGCACGGACTACGGAGATGCTCGGGACTGCCTTAAAGGGTCACAGCGCCAGAGTGTGCTTTTATTTCCTAACAATTTAATTGCTGACTGGAAACTTGAATAGGGAGTGTCCTTTGGATGTTACGATCATGTTTTCAGAACCTGAGGGCAAAGCAAGTGAGTGTGTACTTACGAAGACCACAAGATTATTTGAAATGATCCCTCCGAAGTCAAGGGCATAAGGTTACCATATGAATAGAAAGGAGTCCATCAATTATCTTCAGATCTCACTTTATTTCAACTTCCAATGTGTTCTCCCCAACACACTGCTTCTAACAGAAAGCACAATTCATAGATTTGAATTTTGTTCCTTTTCCCTGATGAAGAGTAGACCTGGACAAAAGGCAGATTACCAGGAGGGAAGAGGAGCGAGAATAACCCACATAAATGAGCAAATCAGAACTGTTAGTGAGGAGAGCTAATGGAAATTTATACAGAAAAATCATGCATTTAAGTGAAATGCTTATGTTAATTACCAAAATTACCATTTAATTCCAGTAATTTTGAGGAGATGAGAACATTAGAACCAATAATAAATTGAACTCGGTCAAGGAACGAGGTAGGAAGAGGCACTTTTAATGTGGAGGAAAAGAAATGGAAGACTAGGTAAGACAGCAGGAAAAACACAGGTCTAGGAAAAATATTCTATCTTTTCCTTTGGTGCTGGCCAAGGACCAATCTATGTAATACGATTGTCTTGCTAGAAACCAGGAACCAGTTATTCCAGACTCTGTAATAGGAAAAATTATACTTCAACTTCCTTTTATTCCTGAAACAAACTTAGCCAGTTTCTCCTAGTGGTGCAAAGAACACTCACTGAGCAACATTACTATAAAATTTCCCCTAAGAAGGTGAGAAGGGGGCAAGGATCACCTTAAGCCAGCTGCTACTTTTTAACTTATTACAAGGCCTTGCAAATATCCCTGAGAACATTTCCAACCTGAGCGTGCGTGCGATTGGAGCAGCTGCCTGGCTAGAGCTATTGCAGTGTAAACATAAACATGTAGAGAACACTACTGGTCTTAATTCACAGGAACATGGCAAGCCAGACAGAGGCTAGTCTTGTGTAAAGAAAAGGAAGACAGGATGTATTAATATTTTAGTTACACGACCGACCGTTTCCACTCTGTGGAGCTGTGTATATGAGGTAACGAAGAAATAGTGGCTAAATTTTAAGAAATGAGTGTTCTATAGCCAAGGCTACTACCAACTTTACATTCCCCAGTGTGTTGTGGAATAGAACAGAAGATTTTTCACTGGAAAGTCACCTAGTGTCAGCTTCTGAGCAAGATGTGCCTGTGGGGGTGCCTGACCAGCTCACTTGAGTTGGTGACGTTGAGAGGCCAAGCAACGCCTAGAAGTACCCCACTTCACAACTCATGGCATGGGCAGGGGAAAAGGAAAATAATGAACAGACTAGGGGAGAGAAAGTGTCAAGGTGCTGCCTTCAAATCATTTGGCGATTCCTGTGTCCAACTGCCCTAACCCTAACCCTTGTTTACAAGCAGAAAGACATACTATCTGACACATTAGCTGAAGATGCTAATGAAAGATCTGTATCGGGGCGCCTGGGTGCTCAGTTGTTAATCGTATGCCTTCAGCTCAGGTCATGATCCCAGGGTCCTGGGATCAAGCCCCGAATCGGGCTCCCTGCCCTGCGGGAAGCCTGCTTCTCCCTCTCCCACTCCCCCTGCTTGTGTTCCCTCTCTCGCTGTATCTCTGTCAAATAAATAAAATCTTTGGGAAAAAAAAAGAAGAAAAAGATCTGTACCAGCAGTAACCTATAATTCTTTAGCCATAAGGCACCTCATTCAGTATTTAAGGGGAAAACATCTGGTAGAATCAGAAGTTGGGAATAACCCTGGACATAACCTTCGAACATGCTCAGTACTTAGGACTAGACCATATGGAACCATCGTACAAATCAAGAAAAATCTCCCTTCAGTTGGGTGAGCTTGGCCGCCCTAGTGCAGTGTATGATTGGCACAACCATTTGTAGGGAGCCTACCAATCCTGCTTGGCAGGGTCACAAAAATGGTAAAAACTGAGAAAAGCACTAGACTTGGAGTCAGAAAAATTATCACCCTTGCCTTTGCCTCTCCTATGCTAGAAGACCTTTGAAAAGTCATTAAACTCTCAGGTTTCTTCATTCTGTAAACTGGGGATAAGGAATACAAATATGAATTACAACTGTGAAGATGGACTAAGGTATGTAAGGGCGCTCTAGGACAATCCCTGGCAAGCTAAATGTTCCAACTATTTGTTAAAATGACCCACATTTTTTAAGGAAAAAGATATTCTAATACAGAAAAAAATATGCACCCTAAACTCAAACCCATCTCACAGTTGAACCTCCTAAGTGATGAATGGAGTAACAGGAGGAGGTTATCACTGGCGGCAGATCTCAGTCCTTCAGAGAAGAAACCTAGTACTGTGTTGCTGAGACTTTAAAATGAAATAGGGTAGCGCCCCCTTATCCTCGCCAGTGGATCCCTGAAACTGTGGATAGTACTGAGCCCTCTATATGATTTTTCCTCTACGTCCATCCCTGTGGTAAAGTTTAATTTATAAATTAGGCACGGTAGAGATTAAAACAATAAAATAGAATAATTATAATAATATACTGTAACGAGTTATGTGAATGTGGTCTCTCCCTCTCAGAATATCTTCTTGTACTGATACTCACCCTCGTCATGATGTAAGATGCTAAGGTGCCTATGTGATGAGATGAAGGGAGGTGAATGACCAGGCACTGTGACGAGGCATTAGGCTACTACCGACCTTCTGAGGATCCATCAGAAAGAGGACCATCTGCTTCTGGACCGCGGCGCACCGCGGGTAACTGAGCCACGGGAAATGAAGCTGCAGACAAAGGGACTACCGTCATGCTTGTGAGGAAATTGGTTCAGAGGCCAGAAACTGTTTCTATAAAGCAACCAAATAGTCAACAGGCTCTCTGTGAAACATGATCACCACCTCAAGTTCTTTGAAAGATAAATTTGTGTAAAAAGACCTCAGAAATTAAAAGAAAGGACAAAAATCTTATCTAGAGTACCTTTTATTTCTATAAAGCATCTCTTAAAATAATTTCAAAATTCTGTGCGTATGACACTTGTCTACATCATGCCTTTAGGGAAAAAAGGCAAGGAGCAGGCATTACTTCTGTATTATTATTAGAATTAGCACAAAGGCTGTGGACATTAATTTCCACAAGAAATTAATGGTAGCTGTGGTTCAAAAAACCCCATCTCCGGGCTCACTGTTTATTCCCCCAGGACAAACCCAGGGAACAGCTGCATTTGATAGATGAGATGGTACAGAAACGCAGGTGAGGGCAGGTATCAAGGATGCCTTTGTGCAGTGTGTGAACCAGATGGCCAACAGTTGCTTTTTGGTTTCTAGAAAGCTTTCTATAGGACAGTGATGATCACAAGAGTCCCCTAAGGCACACTGTAGATACTGACTGACTTCTTTGGGCCCAGAATTATTATTATTTTAATACAGAGAGGATAAAATAGCATTAATTCTGGTATTTTTCTCAAGAAATCTTCACTGGCTTTTTGCCAAGTTTTCAGAAATCATTACATTCAATAAAGCAATTAAGAATTCTAGAGGACTTACACAAACTTTTCCTGAATAGTTCAAGGAATGAGGAACGATAAATGGTGATATTTTTAATTCCACATCTGAGCTCCATAAGCAAGTTGGATTTATCCTGAATCTGCCTTTTACTTTAGATTCAGATGTAATATAAGTTAGCAGGGGAAGAAGAAATGGCCTACTACCAGCGCCACCAAAAAAGGGGGAGGTGGGAGGTTGAGAAACTTTTTTTTTTTTCATAGCAAAAGTAGCTGCTGTAAGAAGCAGCCCTTACTAGGGTATTCCCTTCCACTGCCAGAGGCTGAGGATAAGGAAGTGAAGAAGGAATGGGGACACTGACACGTTCCTATTACTTGGAACCAACAGTGAATCACTCTAGAGAAAGCCAATGGAAAAGAGTATTAACCATTACCCAGGAAGATACAATAGGCCAGATCACTTTGGGTTAATGTTCAACAGATGGGACGATAAACCAGCACGTGGCAGCTCCTTCTGTGGAGAACACAGACCCAAATATCTTAAGCCACAGATGGCCTTTTAGTAGCTCCAAAATAAACCTGACTTCTCTTAGTACTTACATGTGTCTTAGCTAATGGGTTTGAGGACCCAGAGTTTAAAAGTGTGAACATTGGAAGGAAAATATTTTATTATAAAAGAGAAAAAAAAAATCAAGATAACTCACCAGTTTGCTCTTACCCTATGCAAACACAAAAGTAGCAATTAGAATACAGAGTAACCCAATGTCTGAGCCAACTGTCAGAGTCCAAGGAGGAAAATAATCTTTACTACATTAATCCCATTTCCCCCCTCACCTCTAGCTATCCTAATCAAAGTGCACCAAAACCCTTAAAAATATCACTCCCTAAGACACTAAAACTCAGAACATAAAGACACATTGCATGATAAAGCTGAACAGACAAACACACTTCAGACCTTTCCTTGACCAATTTTTAAATAGTACTGCTTTAGGGAGAAGATTTCATTTTAAATTTAAAATTTAAAAAAGAAAGCACATTTAAAACATCAAGTTTTGGTGATCAAGATAGTAAAGTAATTTTATTACAAATTTCAGGATCTAAAAAGTAATTTGTTACATTTACTAAGATAAATCTGAGATGACCTGTCTCAAGCATGTGTGTCCTGCATAGTGACACTGACCCTCACACATGAAAAGACATAGTCCCACCCCCCGTTAGGGATGGGATTAGCCAGATGAAAGAAGTTATGCTGATTCTCAACTAGCACATACTGATTAGAATCATTTTGGTTTATCACTCTGGCATTTGGACTGTAAAGAGTTCAGGGAAGAAGTCTTATTCTTGAACTCTGAAAGCCAAACTAGAATCTCAAGGGTAGCCTCAAGAAATTCAAGCTTCTCTTTTCCTACTTTTTATTTCAATGGTATTTAGGGAGATTTTCTGTATAACTCTTATTGAGTTATGATTCAACTGGTCTGTAAGCCCGAGTATGAAAATCCTTATCACATGGGAAGAGACCGCAGAGAAACTGGTTGACCAGTTAAGAAGACTGAGGCCAGATAAAGGGAAAACACACAGCCCAGATTATAGACAGTGACCATCCAGCAACAGAGATGCTGCCAGCAAGTAACCATAAGCTCAGAAGGGTGGCTGGCCATACACAAAAGGGCCAGAAGACACTTGGCCACCTAAGTCATCCTGCTTATAAATGAGACAAATACCACTCTCTAGCCAGTTACTTGCCCTCGCATCCACAGGCAGGGAACCCTAGGTCTCTTTTATATTTATTTTTTTTTAAGATGACTAACGACAACATCTTTACAAGGTGGAGCTGTAGGAAGCATCAGGGACTTAATGGGTGCGGACCAAGCACTCTCCCATGGGGCCTTATAAAGAACCTGGGGGTGAAGAGGAGCAGTGTAGTACCTGAGAGGCAGCTGAGACATCAGGGGAGAGCACCCTCATGCTACAGGACCAAGAAGGTGGGGAAGAAAAGAAGAGCCACAAAAGAATGGCTGCAAAACCCAGCATGTTCACCAGGAAAGATGAAATTCCAAGGGCAGGAACAAATCAGTAGCTGAGGAGCCCACAGCTGAGCCCTTTTGCCTGGGAATTTCTATCCCAGATGATCCTAAATTAACCCTTTCCCTCTAGAGCTGTGGCTCTCCACAGGAACAATTTTGCCCCCAGAGGACATCTGGCAATGTCAGGAGACATTTCTGATTGTCACAACTGGGGGAAGGGTGCTACTTGTATTTAGTGGGTAGAGGCCAAGGATGTTGCCCATCCTACAGTGCACAGGACAGCCTCCTACAACGAAGAATTAATCATAATGTCATTAATGTCAAGGTTGAGAAACCCTGTTCTAGAGGGAGTGCTTGACGCATAAGATTCCGAATTTAGCAGGAGTCGAGGCCCTTGGAACTTAAAATCAGACAAACGTGAATGCTCTCTACCTGAAGCCCTACTATGTGGATCAATTTACTGCCTTGTTGAGCAGAAGTCCCCCATTATCCCAGAGTGTTCCACAAATGTCCAAATCAGCTGTTGGTGGTTCAAATTCAGTCAGTACAGCTAAAACCTGACATTTTTTATTTTCTTTCTCTTCTGAAAAATCTGCTATTTCTTTCTGAGAGCCAGTGCGACCCCAACTGCCACTGCCAGCATGGCGATGGCGGCGGCCCCTCCAAACAGCAGTATAGACTTGCCCTCAGACAGTGGGATGGCTTTTGCTTCTCCTGCAGGGGAGGGGCCTTCTCGAAGGCCCCCTCTCCTCACACGCATCTCCTCTTCACTCAGCAGTGTTGCTGTGGGTTCCAGTGTGGGGGTCACCTCCTCTTCCAGTTCAACAGATTCAACCGTTGCTGCTTTTGTCTTCAGCAAGTTCTCTTCTTCAGCAAGTTCCACGAACGAAGACGGAGCAGGGCTGACTGTCTCCACTGTCATCCCTTCTGTGTCGGGCTCCCTCATCTCCAGCAAGGAAGCGGCAGTGATATGTGGAAGCAAGGGAGCTGGTGCTTCCGGGAGCGCCTCCCGCAGCTCCTTGGTTGGCAAGACGACAGATGCCACGGCAGCCTCTTCCATGCTTTCAGGAATTTCTTCTTTCTCCACATGCACAATGTCAGAATTAGAAGAGTTATTCTCGCTCTTCTCTCCAGCCCCATTGCTATCTAAGCTTTTGACTTCTTCAGGATCCATTGCGATCTGCTGCCAGGACTCAGGACCTAGGGACACTGGGAGGCTTTCTGTGTGCCAACTCTGGCTGGCTGACAGTGAAACAGGTAGGCTTTCTGACTGCCAAGAAGTGGTCACAGTAGGAGACTCTGGAGGACTGACTTGTCCAGAGTTGTCACTGGGCAGGATATAAATGTCATTGCTATCTTCTGCAACGATTCCAGGGTATTCCTCCTCCTCTGATTCAAGGTTAAAGACAGTGCCCTAGAAAAGGAGGAGAGTCAATACAAAGAATGGTAAATACATTTAAAGTAAATATAAATCTGGGACGCTTGGGTGGCTCAGTCTGGTTAAGCATCTGCCTTTGGCTCAGCTCAGGTCACGATCCCAGGGTCCTGGGATTGAGCCCCGCATCAGGCTCTGTGCTCAGCGGGGAGCCTGCTTGTCCCTCCCCCTCTGCCTGCCGCTCCCCCTGCTTGTGCTCTCTCTCTGATAAATAAATAAATAAAAATATATAAATACATATATAAACATACATATATATCTGGGGGTGCCTAAATCAGCTAAGCATCCGACTCTTGGTTTTGGCTCAGGTTGTGATCTCAGGGTGGTGGGACCAAGCCCTGCATCGGGCTCCATGCTCAGTACAGAGTCTGTTGAGATTCTCTCCCTCTGCCCCTCCTGCTTGTGCGTGCTCTGTCTCTCTCAAACAAACATTTTAAAAAATAAATCTGGAAAAAAATTCTTTCCTAAACTGAAGTTCTAGAAATAAATACATTGTCTAAGCCTACATAGTTTCTGAATTTAAGAATTTCCATGTAAACCACTGCAGAGGAAGAATTTTTAACAACATGGTCCTTTGACCAGTTTCCTTGAAGCTAAAAAACCAAAACTTGATTTTTATATTTAATTCAATGTATGTATATTTATGCAATAATTAATGTAAAACAGCAGAGAAAACAAAGGCAAGAAGCTTGCTCTTGAGGAATTTCTCACTTAGTAGGGCAGTGCTATCCTGCAGTCCAAGTGCTAGGAAGAGTTCAGATGGGGAGATGCTGACTTCTTTTGGTGAAGGCTGCCGCAGGCAGGGAGATGATAGAGCTTCCTGGAGCATTTTAGCTACCTGAAGGATGGTTCAGGTTCCATGGTGAAAGCATGTACAAGACACACCACCAGCAAAAGCACAGAAATAACAAAGAGGGCACAGTAAGTCCCCAGTTTAAGTAGTGCACAATGTACATGAAGAATCGAAGTTCAGTTGGGAAGGGGACCCTGGAAAACCTGACAGAGAGC